ATAATTGGACAGACTTGATGCTAGGCAAGGAAGTGAATGAGATGTATGTCAAGTTTTGTGAAATATATGATAAAGGCACAAAAAAATTTATACCAAAACAGAGATGCAGAACTAGGAAACAGGATTGGTTCAATAGAAATTGCGAGAGGGCTAGAGACCGAAAGACACAAAAATGGAATCAATACAGGAAGAGGCCGAACCCCCAAACATACCAGCGATACAAAGATGCGAGAAACAACTACACGGCAGTGAGGAGAGAGGCAGAAAGAAATTTTGAAAAAGGGATTGCGGACAAATGTAAAACAGAACCAGGTCTATTCTATAAATTCATAAACAACAAATTGCAGGTAAAGGATAATATTCAGAGGTTGAAAATGGGAAATAGATTCACGGAAGATGAAAAGGAAATGTGTGAAACACTAAACGAAAAGTTCCAAAGTGTGTTTGTACAAAATGAAATCTTTAGGGAACCAGATACAATAAGAATTCCTGAGAACAACATAGAACACATAGAGGTGTCTAGAGACGAAGTGGAAAAAATGCTCAAGGAGCTCGGTAAGAACAAAGCAGCTGGCCCAGATGGCGTTTCACCATGGGTTCTGAGAGAATGTGCATCTGAGCTCAGCATTCCACTTCACCTGATCTTTCAGGCATCCCTGTGTACAGGAATCGTAGCAGACGGGTGGAAACAGGCTAACATAGTTCCAATCTACAAAAGTGGCAGCAGGGAAGACCCCCTCAATTATAGACCTGTATCATTGACAAGTGTAATAGTGAAAGTATGGGAAAAACTAATCAAAACTAAATGGGTAGAACACCTAGAGAGAAATGATATAATATCAGACAGACAGTATGGTTTTCGATCTGGAAGATCCTGTGTATCGAATTTACTCAGTTTCTATGATCGAGCCACAGAGATATTACAGGAAAGAGATGGTTGGGTTGACTGCATCTATCTGGACCTAAAAAAGGCTTTCGACAGAGTTCCAATAAGTTCATAAGAGGTTGTTCTGGAAACTGGAAAATATTGGAGGGGTGACAGGTAAGCTTCTATCATGGATGAAAAATTTTCTGACTGATAGAAAAATGAGGGCAGTAATCAGAGGCAATATATCAGAATGGAGAAAAGATAGAAAACTATCACCTGAGGACCACATAAAGAATATTGTGCAAGGAGCCTATGCTATGCTTTCTAACTTCAGAATTGCATTTAAATACATGGATGGCGATATACTAAAGAAATTGTTCATGACTTTTGTTAGGCCAAAGCTAGAATATGCAGCTGTTGTGTGGTGCCCATATCTTAAGAAGCACATCAACAAACTGGAAAAGGTGCAAAGACATGCTACTAAGTGGCTCCCAGAACTGAAGGGCAAGAGCTACGAGGAGAGGTTAGAAGCATTAAATATGCCAAAACTAGAAGACAGAAGAAAAAGAGGTGATATGATCACTACATACAAAATAGTAACAGGAATTGATAAAATCGACAGGGAAGACTTCCTGAGACCTGGAATTTCAAGAACAAGAGGTCATAGATTTAAACTAGCTAAACACAGATGCAGAAGAAATATAAGAAAATTCACCTTCGCAAATAGAGTGGTAGACGGTTGGAACAAGTTAAGTGAGAAGGTGGTGGAGGCCAAGACCGTCAGTAGTTTCAAAGCGTTATATGACAAAGAGTGCTGGGAAGACGGGACACCACGAGCGTAGCTCTCATCCTGTAACTACACTTAGGTAATTACACTTGGGTAATTACACAGTCAGTAAACGATGCTTCTCCCTCCATCTCTCAGCATCACTCCTCCCACAGTGCTAATTATTACAACAATCCTGCTATTATCACAACCCTGGTTATTTATATCACAGTCATGGGTCATCTGTAATATTGTCATCGCTAAATAATAACAATTATATATTTATTTTGACATTTTTCGGCGATGCTGTGGTCACAAGCTGAGCAGCAATGCTGTTCGCTCATGCTGCGTGCGCCGGCCTTGGTTGCTCCAACAGTACTGTGCCTCTCACACCTGAGAATATTGCCCACGATTTTTAAAAAAAATGGCATCTGTTTACAAGAGCCCTGAGGAAGCTACTGTGAACCCCGTGTAGCCGCGGGCCATTTGAATCAGGCCTGGCACCCTATGGCGTATATATACGCCATGCGCACCGTGGGACATGTTACTCAGGGCGTATATATACGCCATGCGCAGTTTAAGGGTTAAGGGTGAGTTTTGTGGCTTCAGTCACTTCAAAACATTTCCGGAAAAGTGCCCTTTCATAAAGTTTCTTAAAATTCGCTATGATTTTCTGGTCCATAGGCTGAATTAGAGGAGTGGTGTTAGGAGGAAGGAACTTTACTGTGAGAAATTTATTGTATCTGTGCAACAATTGATCTTCCAAGCCTGGAGGATGAGCAGGAGCATTGTCGAGGAGAAGCAGGGCCTTGAGTGGCAAATGTTTCTCCTGCAGACATTTTTCTATGGCAGGGCACACCACTTCATTCACCCACTCCGAAAAAAATCCTAGTCACCCATGCCTTATTATTAGCCCTCCACATCACACACATTTAGTTTTTCTGCACTTTATACTGTTTGAAAACCCTTGGATTTTCAGAATGATACACTAGCAAGGGTTTAATTTCCAAATCGCCACTCGCATTTGAACACAGCACAAGCGTAAACCTATCTTTCATAGGCTTGTGTCTGGGCAATGCTTTTTCCTCCTTGGTAATGTATGTCCTCTTAGGCAATCTTTTCCAGAACAGTCCTGTTTCATCACAATTAAACACCTGTTGCAGTAGGTATCCCTCAGCCTCTGCAAACTCTTTAAATTCTTCAATAAATTTTTCAGCCGCTGGTTTGTCTGAGCTGGCAGCCTCCCCATGCCTCACAACACTATGAATACCGCTTCTTTTTCTAAATTTCTCAAACCATCCCCTGCTTGCCTTAAACTCTTTCTCTGCACTCGTTCCAGGGGTTTTCTTTACAAGGTCTTCGTGCAATACCCTGGCTTTCTCACAAATAATGGCCTCCAAAACACAATCACCCGCTAACTCCTTGTTGTGTATCCAAATTAATAACAACTTTTCCACTTCAAGTATTTGTGGTCTTTGTTTCGTGGTTGTTGATACTCCTTTTGCCACTTTGGCACTCATAATGTCTTTTTTCTTGGCAAGTACAATGGGGCCTCGACTTACGATGCTAATCCGTTCCCAGAGATGAATCATAAGTCGAAATATCATAAGTCGAAATATCGTAAGTCGAAGCGATTTTTCCCATAAGAAATAAGAGGGATTTGAATTAATCTGTTAACCATCCTCCAAAATCTTAACATACAAATACATTTTATACTGAATACAGTGTTTTTTTCTAACTACAATACAGTACCAAAGTTTCACTTACCTTTATGGAGGGCTCTTGATGGCATATGGATGATGGTGATGAGGGGGGAGGAGGAGAGTTGTTACTGTTTGGAAGGGGAGTCCCCTTCCATTATCACATCAGGCAGAGATGTTTACTCTGGGGTACTCTCTCTCTCCTACGTTTTGCCTGAATACCACTAGGACCTGGTTGTGGTTCAGTGCTTGTTTGTCTCACTACAAATTTGTCAAGAGACATTTGTTTTTCCCTTCTTTTTAACGTTAGTCAGTAATGATGCATCACAGTGTCATTGAATAGGTTAAGGCAACGACCTACTGCAGCTTGATTTGGGTGAGTCGTTTCAGCAAAGGTTTGCAATTCTTCCCATGCTGCACACATTTTCTTAATTGTTGAGGAAGAGACATTCTGAACTCTTGTTTCTACTCTATGGTCATCCTTACATGGGTTTTCATATGTTTATCCTTATCACTGACTTTCCTGAGACTCATGGCATGATATATAATAATTATTTTAATGTTCAAAATGCAAAAAATCACCACAAACGCGAAATTTCTTATAGGCGCGATCGTCACAAAGCGGGCAGCTGTAGTAAACTGAGGCAGGGCGGCCGCGTGAACGGGAACCACGCGCTCAGTCGACCCGAACGTGTACCAACAAATATCGAATGTCGACGACACCATCGGATGTCGAGTCACATTTTTCGATGAAATTTATATCGTAACTTGAAATTATTGTAAGTAGGGGCAATCGTATGTCGAGGTGCCACTGTATAGTGCATATCGCTGACGTGGATTTGTTGTGCAGTACTGCCTACAAAGTTTAACAACACGTGCACCATTTTCATGCTTCTGAATGATCCCTTGCTTTTGCTCTACTGTCATCCTCACATGCGATTTCTTGCCTTGAACCTTACCACTAGCTTTCTTGGGACCCATTGTGATTTATATTATAACAAATTTTATGCTCAAATTGCAAAATACAATAAACGGTAAGTCCTTGTGAAAAATTCAGGTGGGATAGTCACTGGGTGCAAGGCACTGGCAAACTGAGCGGTGATCGCCGTGCCACCACGGGCTAGATCGGCCCGTACACGTATCAACAAACTCGTATTCTGAGACAACCCTTGTATCCCGATACAAATCTTCCTAGCAAATCCTGCTCGTAACCCAAAAAACTCGTAACCCGAAAAACTCTTAACCCGAGAAACTCATAACCAGGGGTGCTCGTAAGCCGAGGTATCACTGTACATAATTTGTCAAGGTTAACAATGTTTTCACTGCAATTACTTATTTTTGGGGCACTACCTTTCCTGGTGGTTTCTTTTTTGGCCTGGGTTGATTATTTATCACCTAGACTCCCTTGCCTGAACTCAGGGGAGACTATTCTGATCGTGGTCCTTGGTAGGCACTCAGGACTCAAAGGGCCTGGTGGAGTGCTTTAGGCTTGGAGCTAACCAGGCAGGTGTCTTGGGAAGCCACCAAAGGGACCCACCAAAAAGAGGCCTTCCATTTCATTATACACTTTTTTTTAGGCACCACTGCACAATCATAATTGCCAATATACATGAATTTAACAGGGACAAATTTTAATAAAACCTCAGTAAAATCAAATAGTAAAAACCTTTTTCTGTGGAGTGGTTGTGCCTGAACCTCCTGATTCTACACTGTAAGGAGTTCCCCGACCTTCCTCGCGCAGCTCAAATATTCTTGTTCCTCCTAAAGATGAAGACTTGTGAGAAGAGTCATCACTCATGCGGTCATCATCTTCACCCTCCGAATCCGTGTAATTTGCTGTAAGCTGCCCGAGAGACATTTTGCTTGATGTCCTGCAGATATGAAAAGAATGTCACATACTAGCACCTAAAAACTTTCTCAAACATATGTACAAATGAAAAATACCACTAAACGTGTTTTGAATATTATCAATCAAGAGATATGACATGGACATGTCCCAGAATATAACAGCATACAGTACAGTTTTGAGTACATGAGTTGACAATATTCGAGAAAAGATAATTTGGGAAGAGCCAAGATAAAACTAGCATTGAACGTAATGAAACATATTTTCTGGCGATTTATTGTAAGCCTACAAGAGACGACAGGCCAAAACCTGGACCCCTCTAAACGAGCATAAGCAGCAGGAGATATGAGATCACCCTAACCAAGAGAAGGTCACCACTAAGATCGGCGAGCCAAAACATACGACTAGCAAGATGAACAACTATAAAAGGAAAAAATTTGACCTCAGATTGAACAAACCATCTAGTCATGAAGCAGTTCTCTTGTTAATTTCATCTGCATGCTGCCAGGTCACCATGTGCCTATATTGTCAATCCCTCAACTAGACGGCTTCCGCTATTTAACTAGGAAGATGAAAACTGAAGCCCTTGATACTGTAATAAATGGGAAGAGGTCCAAGAAGCCACCAAGGACCCACCAGTAAGAGTAGTTTCATTACATTCAATGTAGATTCTGGGAGTGCTCGTTTGGTGGTTCTTAATTGTTATGTCATCATGGGAGAACAAAAGGGGAACATGCCAGCAGTGGAGGAGCCCCACAGAAAGCAAGCTCTTTGCTTTCTGTGGCTCGCCTTTGCTTTCGGCGACATGTTTTGGAGTGGGTTAACGTGTCGCTAATTCCCAAAAAATGGGAAATTAGCAACATGTTAATCACACCAAAAAAAAAAACCCTGGTGCAGACCAGGAATGTTCGCCAAGAAGTAAGCCATCAGCACACCACAATTATATCACCAAAGCTCAAAAGCCCAAATATCTTTTGAGGGAGGGTGTGTGTCAGGAAGCCTCCAGGGCTCACCCAGAAAATGGCATTTCATTACATTCAATGCTGGTTTTCTGTACTCACCTAGTTGTGCTTGCAGGGGCTGAGCTCTGGCTCTTTGGTCCCGCCTCTCAACTGTCAATCAACTGGTGTACAGATTCCTGAGCCTACTGGGCTCTATCATATCTACATTTGAAACTGTGTATGGAGTCTGCCTCCACCACATGAATGCCTCATGCATTCCATCTGTTATCTACTCTGACACTGAAAAGGTTCTTTCTAACGTCCCTGTGGCTCATTTGGGTACTCAGTTTCTACCGTGTCCCCTTGTTCACATACCACCCGTGTTAAACAGTATCTTTATCTACCCTGTCAGTTCCTCTGAGAATTTTGTATGTAGTGATCATGTCTCCCTGAGCTCTCCTGTCTTCCAGCGATGTGAGGTGCATTTCACGCAGCCTTTCCTCGTAACTCATGCCTCTTAGTTCTGGGACTAGCCTAGTGGCATACCTCTGAACTTTTTCCAGCTTCCTCTTGTGCTTGACAAGGTATGGGCTCCATGCTGCGGCTACATACTCCAGGATTGGTCTTACATATGTGGTATACAAGGTTCTGAAGGATTCCTTACACAGGTTCCTGAAGGCAGTCCTGATGTAAGCCAGCCTTGCATATGCCACTGATGTTATTTTTTTTATATGGGCTTCAGGAGACAGGTCTGTGGGGAGCCCATCAGCTCCCTGGAGCTACATAACCAAAGATAAGGAAAAGAGAGACGTACCTAAAAGACGGCCGCCACGCGCTCCTCAACTCAAAGTCAAGACAACTAGCTGCATCCCTGCAACCCAAAGCTATACATGAACGACCAAGACCAGGAATGTTGACCAAATAACGGGCGGCCAGGACCCCTCTTCGACCGCCAAAATCCCCGCGCCCATATGTAAGCTAGTGGCTGACATGTTGCCAAACACGGCAGCCAATGCAACAAACATACGAACGTCATGGGCAAAAGGATAGACCGCAGTCTGACTAGACTTAATAACCCTGCAGACGACCTGGGAGACCCAAGCCCCAGAACAGGGAACGAGGGAAACCGGATCAACCCAAAGCACTTCCTGGCCACTGAGGCCAAAGCACGCAGATAACAGTAAAGAGCCACAACCGAACACAACACATGATGCACCCATGGCCTGACCAATCAAGCATCAATAACACAAGGGCCCCTCCGGAAAGCTGCCGTCCCGTTCTTCACCAAATGAATGTAATGAAACGCCATTTTCTGGGTGAGAACCGGAGGCTCCTTGGAGCTTTACCAGGCTGATATGCTAATGTCAGACTGGCATCAGTCATGTGTATGAAATTCTAGGGCCTACCGGGGACCACGGCCAGAACCTGGCCCCCTCAGAGAGGCAAGGGGAGCAATGGCCTATAGAAACCCCCGTGTGGTTGGAAGCATTCTGTGTCTGCCATCGACCGGATCAAGCATCCAGAAAGGTAAGCATTCCAAAACAAACCCCTATTCTGGTTAAAATTGCTACCTAAAGCCGAACTCCCCAACAGAAAACAAGCAAACTAGTATGATGTCACACGTCACCGCGCCACTGTCTGCGCAGCTCCCCCCTCCCCGGGAGGGGGAAGGGGGAGCCCCAGACCTCCCACGCCGGCTATCCACCCATCAGTTCTGAGGCTGGATGTCAAAACACGCGAAAATCGCCGACCAGTGCCATAACATGGCATTTATTCACATTAAATTCCATTTACCAAGTGGTGCTCCATATACTTATTTTGTCCAGGTCTTCATGAAGGGCATGACAATCATCTAAGTTTCTTATCCTTCCTATTATCTTAGCATCATCAGCAAACATGTTCATATAATTCTGTATTCCTTCTGGTAGATCATTTAAGTAGACAATGAACATCACTGGTGCAAGAACTGAACCCTGTGGTACTCCACTTGAGATGTTTCTCCAGTCCGACACATTGCCTCTTGACTGCTGCCCTCATTTTTCTATCAGTCAGAAAATTTTTCATCCATGTTAGAAGCTTACCTGTCACCCCTCCAATATTTTCCAGTTTCCATAATAACCTCTTATGTGGAACTCTGTTGAAAGCCTTTTTTAGGCCCAAATAAATGCAGTCAACCTCACCAACTCTTTCCTGTAAAATCTCTGTGGCTCGATCATAGAAACTGAGTAAATTCGATACACAGGATCTTCCAGATCGAAAACCATACTGTCTGATTGATATTATATAATTTCTCTCCAGGTATTCTACCCATTTAGTTTTTATTAGTTTTTCCAATATTTTCACTATTACACTTGTCAATGATACAGGTCTATAATTGAGGGGGTCATCCCTGCTGCCACTTTTGTAGATTGGAACTATGTTAGCCTTTTTCCACATATCTGTTACGACTCCTGTACACAGGGTCATCTGAAAAATCAGTTGAAGTGGAATGCTGAGCTCAGGTGCACATTCTCTGATGTGCACCCAAGATGAAACTCCATCTGGGCCAACTGCTTTGTTCTTACTTAGCTCCAGGAGCATTTGTTTCACTTTGTCTCTAGACACCTCTATGTGCTCAATGCTGTTCTCTGGAATTCTTATTGTGTCTGGTTCTCTGAAGATCTCATTTTGTACAAACACACTTTGGAACTTTCGTTTAATGTTTCACACATTTCCTTTTCATTTTCCGTGTATCTCTTCCCCATTTTCAACCTCTGAATATTATCCTTTACCTGCAGCTTGCTTTTAATGAATTTACAGCAAAAGACTGGATCCAATTTACATTTGTCTGCTATACCATTCTCAAAGTTCCTCTCTGCCTTTCTCCTTACTGACGTGTAGTTATTTCTTGAATCTTTGTATCGCTGGTATGTTTGGGGGTTTGGTCTCTTTCTATAAAGATTCCATGCTTGTGTTTTTTGATCTCTGGCCCTCTCCCAATTTCTGTTGAACCAACCCTGTTTCCTAGGTCTGCATGTCTGTTTTGGTACGAATGTTTGTGTGCCTTCATAGTATATTTCGCAAAATTTGGCATACATCTCATTTACTTCCTTGCCTAGCAACAAGTCTGCCCAATTATACCCATGAAAAAAATTCTAAGTTCTCCAAAGTGTCCTCTCTTGAAATCGAGTTTAACAACTGTTTCACTGTCTCCATTCTCTACAAGACTATATTGCATAGCGTATTTAACGTCCAAGATGATGTGATCACTCTTGCCCAAGGGAGGAAGGTACTGGAAGTCAAATACCTCCTCTTCTTTCCTGGTGAATACTAGATCCAGTACTGACGGAACATCCCCATCCCCTCATTCTTGTGGCATGCTTGACGTGTTGATACATAAAAAAAACCAGCGTTGAATGTAATGAAACGCCATTTTCTGGGTGAGTCCCGGAGGCTCCCCGGAGCTATCCCAGGCTGATATGCTAATGTCAGACTTTGGCATCAGTCATGTGTATGGAGTTCTTAGGCCTACCGGGGACCACGGCCAGAACCGGGCCCCCTCAGAGAGGCAAGGGGAGCAATGGCCTATAGAAGCCCCCGTGTAGTTGGAAGCATTCTATGTCTGCCATCGACCGGAACAGGCACCCAGAAAGGTAAGCGCCCCAAAACAAACCCCTATTCTGGTTAAAATTGCTACCTAAAACCGAACTAGTGGATAGAACTCCCCAACCGAAAACAAGCAAACTAGTGTGACGTCACACACTGCCGCGCCGCTGTCTGCGCAGCTCCCCCCTTCCCGGGAGGGGGAAGGGGGAGCCCCAGACCCCCCGCGCCGGCTACCCACACCTCAGTTCTTGAGGCTGGATGTCAAAAACGCGAAAAAACGCCGACCGGAGGGAGGGAGGGATGCCGGGGAGCCTCCGGGACTCACCCAGAAAATGGCGTTTCATTACATTCAACGCTGGTTTTCTGGGGGGAGCCCCGTCGGCTCCCCGGAGCTAACTACCCACAGACAGAAAAAGAGGGACTTACCCGGGAGGCGGTCGTCGCTCACCCCTCAACTCGAAGCCGAGACAACTGGCTGCAACCGCCGACCCAAAGCAAC